TTTTAACATGTCAGTTCATAGACCTTTGAGAAATCCATGAAAAATTTCTAACAAATTTTCAATCTGTGCTTTCTTTTTTGTTTTTGGCCCACTGATAACCCAAAACAGAATGGAAAGAATATACTTAAATAAAATGCCAACTAGACATTTTATAAATAACAACTGGAGTGGGCATTTTTCCAAGAACTTCCTAATTACTGCCCTCCAGAGACTAACTGGCTAGATGTAGCATGATCACTGTCATTCTTACTTCTGAACGCTTACTCAGCAGTAACAGTGAGACTGGTCCTAGATTCCGTTCTGATAGAACCATAGTAAATAAGAAAACATCATCACAACCTTCAAATTGCTTATAAATTACCTTCAAGCACCTAGATAGATCTTATAGGTTTTAGCAAGGTAGCAAGATACATGGAAATAGGAAGCCAAGTTCACCATGAAAAGAGAACAGCATGCTGGGTATATGATAAAGCAGCCCCAGGACAGGACGATGCAGGTGCCTCTCCATCCTTCGGCTCCAGAGACTACAGATCACATGATATAAGGACACAGTGTCCTAACACTCGGCCTATGTCTGAAGAAGAGCAGATCCTGGGCAAATCAGAGAGGTGAGGACAGTAATAGGGGCTCTTGGTGATAGAACACTGACCAAGGCACTGCCCTGTCACCACTCCTGCGCCTTCTAAAACTATGTCCCACATGTGGTGATGGGGGTCCCACACAAACAGCTGGTTGCTCCATCTGTGTGCTCTCAGATGAGCAAGCTGCCAAGGCCATATTTCCTCTTAGACCTGTAACATTAACAACGGTGCCTCTCCCATGACTCAAATCCCCCACCATGAATCTGAACTGGTCCTGGGAAAATGGTAGTTACAAACCTCTAGGCAGAGGAACATAATGACCCGGATAAGTAAACTAAAAGAAACAAATGGAGCTGTATAAGAATCCACACAGAATTTAGCCATGGCTTGAAGCAAGATGGGGTTAAGAACGACATTAAAGCTGTAACTGCCAACCTGAGCATGGTGGTAGAAAACATTTGAGTAATCTGATGGCTTTCTAGAAACAATCCTCTCTCCCTTCCAGGTTTCTGATTTGCTCCACTAGAGCAGATCACTGTCCCTTAAACACCCTTCATTCTTGGACAATGGTTTGACTCTAGAGTATCACATCACACAGCATGAGCCAGACATACACAGCCTAGCCCTCACTGAACCTCCTTTCCAGAAGCACTAACTAATGCTTTTAAGGACTGTTACAAATGGATGTTTCTAAGTATGAAGACTAAATATAATGGCGAGAAAAAGTGGCATGAAAAAATGAAGTTTTCCAATCAGGAGAGCTTTCTTACTGACTCTATGAAACAGATACAGCTTTCTGGAAAGAAGTCTAGCGATAATATGAACTTCACACATCTCTACATACAAGTGCGTGCAGAGGCGCGGTGGCTCAAGCCTGTAATCCCAGCACTGTGGGAGGCCGAGGCGGGTGGATCACGAGGTCAAGAGATCGAGACCATCCTGGTCAAGATGGTGAAACCCCGTCTCTACTAAAAATACAAAAAATTAGCTGGGCATGGTGGCGCGTGCCTGTAATCCCAGCAACTCAGGAGGCTGGGGCAGGAGAATTGCCTGAACCCGGGAGGCGGAGGTTGCGGTGAGCCGAGATCGCACCATTGCACTCCAGCCTGGGTAACAAGAGCGAAACTCCGATTCAAAAAAATAAAAATAAAAATAAAAATAAAAATAAAAAATAAATAAAAATCACAAAAAAACCCCACAAAAACTCTAATAAAATATAATTGACAAATATCATTGAAATAAAAAGTATAACCATCTGAGACTATAAAATAAATAAATAAAAATCACAAACAAGTTTGCTTGCTTGTATCTGAATTATGTTCAAATAGAGAACATATGGTCAAATATGTGCAAACACGGAACACAGGAACCAACTGTCATCATGGGAAAATTCAGGTATACATGTGACAATGATTGCCCATATTTGCTAACGAACTCCAGCCCAACACACAGTCCATTTAATGTCTTCTCTGACACCTCCAAATTGTCTAACTCCTCCTCTCCATAACTCAAACTCAATGAGAAAAATACCAGCAGAGGTAGGAGAATGACCCACACCTCACATCAAGTTATGCCACAATGAACCCTACCAGACAACTATACTATTTCAGTGCCGACTGATTCCTTCATGCATTAGCATATTCAAGCTTCTACTACATAGAAATATTCAGACAATAAAGTTTAACTTAATTAGCAAAATTCTATCAATAAAGCCCATCTAAAAGGACTGAGAACACTGTCTTTATATACAACCTGGCTCTAATTTTAGTAGTAAGACGAGTAAAAAGCGGTAAAAAGATTTTTTGAGTACCATTATTTAATAGTTATTGCATTGCAAAGACTACAATAGCAATATTTATACACACATTATAAAACAAGGAGAAATATTAAAATGAGTCAATAATAAATATAAAGTTCTACTACTTTTTTGTAGCCCATCTTGGATTTTTCTTTGGGTATATACATTCTACATTAGAGGCGGCTGATCTAGAGCAGTTATCAGCAAACTGCAGCCCACAACACCTATTTGTGCAAATAAAGTTTTATTGGAACGCAGCACTAATCATTCATGTATTGCCTAGGCCTGCTTTCAAGCTACCACAGTGGAACTGTATAACTGCAAAAGCCACTGTCTGGCTCATGAAGTCTAAAATAGTTACTATCTGGTCCTTGACAAAAAAAAAAAAGTTTTTCAAATCTTCATCTAGAGTCTCAATAATGGCAAATGTCCTTCTAGCTCCTTAATTAAGCAAGAAAAGTAGATGATTTGGGTCTACTCCACTAATGCAGTCTTTACTGATGAACCGAGAATTCTCCAACCAAGGAATTAGTAAATCCTTTTAGAAAAATTCTAAAAGGTTTGACAAATTTCTCATTTTTGAATACCATGCTACACATTTCAGGTAACTGTATTTAGTGGCTTATTTAAATATAGTTTCCATTTGCTGACAGATTAATTAAACATGGTGGGTCAGTTGGTAGATGAGACCACATTAAACACGGTGGATTAGCTGAAAAGTGTGGCACTGACCCTATACATAGCTATCAATGGTATAAAAATCTTTATGGCATAATAAAGTAAACCCAAAACAATGCCTCTAACTACCCTACAGTCTCTTCACTCCCATAGGCCAGATGTTCTCCTAGGATGATTCTTGGACCCTCAGGGGACCCTGAGATTCATTCAGGAGGTTCACAGGTTCAAATTGTTTTCCTGACAACACGACAACAATCTTTCACCGTGTCAACCTCTGGATGGAAGGTATAAAAGCAATGGTGGGGAAAACTGCTGGCACCTCAGCACAAGCCAAGGCGGGAATCTTCACTGACACAAGCTCCTAGTTTTTTAAACAAACATCAACTTCATTTTAGAATGTTCTCGGTGAAGCAGTAAATGTTACTCATTTTATTAAATTTTAGCCCTTGAGTACAAACATTTTAATATCCCGTGTAACAAAATAAGAAGTATCCTCAAAATGATAAGTATGTTCCTCTATATATCAAAGCGATCATTGTCTCAATGTAAAGTGTGTGATAGTTGCATTTTTAAGCAGAACCAGCTTCTTTTTTTCAATGGACTATCATGAAAAAATTACAATGTATAGTTATTCAGATCTGGGATTTGGTAGACATACCCTCTAAAATGTAAGAAGCAATCTGATCACTTCAAGATATCACTTCACTTGATAACATGGTTTTTTTTCCAAATAGTAAAGTCGTAAAATTATATCCTTCAAGGAAAAATTTGAATTTTGGAAAACTTTGATCTGCTCCTATGAGCTCAACAGCTTTGAAGTACTTAAAAAAAACTTCTGATGAGATCAGCCGTGACAGGTAACAAATGTCTGTCTTTTTTCTTTTGCTACTCTACAAGAGGAAGATTCAGACGGCTAGAACTCTTCAGAGACTACACTGCAATTCTGGACTTCCTGCCAGGTGGGTGAAAAAATAATTCATAAAATAATTCAAAAATATATTTTGGGAAGCAAGATGCTGGTGCTGAGATGACATATAGGCAACAACAATCCTCTGTGACATTCCAGTTGTCTAAATGGCACAAAAGATATAGCTGGAATCCCAAATTTCTCTCTCAATTCCAATCAAAGAAAAGATTTATTGGGCTGAAGTTGATTAAGTAGGGATGATCCCTGCCTACCTACAATAAGTAGCAGCACATCCAGGGCTAAGGAGATTGAGATCGGCCAGGATAAATTACCAGACGTTCTGGAACAGGGCCAGACTCGACTTTGTTACAGAGCAAAATAAATTTGCCAGGTCTACTCTTGCTAAGAGGTGTGGGAACCAAATGAAGCTTTTCTCTGAGGCCTGAGTCTCACAAGCCATAGCCCTAAATATATTCAAGTCAAGATCTTAAACCTAAAAGTCTCTCTCATAAGTTGGAACGGGTTTCATGACTTTATTAGCACTATCACAAGGCAGATATTGGCAAACTGATTTTCACCAACATACACATATACACCCTACCAATGTCCAATTCATAAAGAAACTCTGAACTAAAAGTCATATCTTAGAATTTCGGTATACAAGTTCATCCTTGAAAAAACATTCTAAATGGCAATTAGGTAAAATAATACTAAATTTTATTGATAGGGTAAACAGACTTTTGTAGGCCAGATAAGAAACTAAGAATTATATGGTTTTTATGGTAAAATTCAGCACATTTTCTAACTATGAACTCTGGAGTTTGGATACACACATGCACCTCTACATGTCATCCACAGTGATAAACACATTTGAAACTGTAACTTAAAAGGCAAAATCCAGAGATTCTTAGATTCTCCTGATTTCTCTTATAAAATGATTCTTTGGAGATAATGTACAGCCTTAAGTGCCAACGAAGAACTGCAGCTCTGAAAAAAAAAATAGGATTAGAAGAAAGGAAAGAAAGAAGTGGCTTACCTGTGGTCAAGATGACTAAAATCTTGTAAATTCAATTCCCTGGTATCTTGGGTAAGATAAATTGTATCCACATCCTATTTGAAATATAATTCAGTCATGTAATCAGTCCATGCAGATGATCAAGGATGCAAGAGAGACAGAATTAGACAATGACAATGGCAGGTTTTTATGTAATCTGAGAAATAAAGATTTTAAGTAAAAAATAAATGAAGGGGAAGAAAACAAAACTAAGCCAGCCAAATATTCTCCAGGAGTGTATGTGCTCACACACATGCACACAGATATTCTTACCCATTGTACTTCTTCCCTGTATGAAAATCCAAGCCAGTCACAAACACAGGCATACATCTGAGAAAATCCACCTGAAACATACAACAAAAACACTGACAGGCTTTTGGCAAAATGATTTTTAAATTAAAATTTACAAACTTAAAATATGGCCGATGTTCACAATGCTGATTATCCTTTTCCTTTTCGGGGGGGGAAAAGCAGCAAAGATTCTCCACCCTGTTCTATAGTAAGTATACAGCAGGATGCAATACAGCTTAAATATAGGACTTTTGTCCACCAATCTAACGTCTGTGCACTGCTAATTACACCTTGAAACTAATTGCACCTTTACAGTAGCACACTAGGAATAGACTTAACTTCCTGGCAGGGGGATATACCCATCCAGCTATTCACATTTCAGTTTTAAAATGCATGCTCACCACAGGGGCCCTGCTCAGCCACAGTCTGGCTGTCCCACAGAGACTGGAGGCTAGCCAGGCGCTCAGATGGCTCCATGGAGACTTTTTTCATGATTCTCCTAAAAGATCAACAACAACGCATTTCACAAATCACGTTTTTCAACTGCAGATATCAATATATTTTGTCACATTCCTTTTTTGAAAACAAAGATGAGTATCACTTCAATTTCAGTAAATATAATTTTATTTTTTGAGTACTAGAGAGCTAGAAATCTAGAAAACTTAATAAATCTCTAACTTTCCTTTGTAGATGACAGGTATTTGGCAATATAGTCTTCATTTATAGTTTTGTAGTGTTAGATTTTGTTACAGTAGTTTGAAAATATATTCCAGCTTATGTGTATACCAAATATAAATTACTTATACACACAAGCTAATAATGATAATGTACAAAGAATTAAAGTAAAAATCTCTTCTGTCCTTCTATAGTGCCCTGCACAGATGTCCATCAAGAAACTGATCAAGTCATATTGGAATGGTTGTTCCTTTTGCTGTCTCTTCCCCTGGGCCATGGTTCTTCTGAGGCAGGAAACATGTGCAACTCCTTCCAACTCCCATCCTCCTCCTCAGAACCTAATAAAGTTCTTGCCCACACATGCAGAGACAAGACAGAGTAGTGGTTAAAAGTACAGCCAACTAGCCGGGCACAGTGGCTCATGCCTGTAATCCCAGCACTTTGGGAGGCTGAGGTGGATGGATCTCCTGAGGTCAGGAGTTCAAGACCAGCCTGGCTAACATAGTGAAACTCCGTCTCTACTAAAAATAAAAAAAAATTAGCTGGGCGTGGTAGCAGGCACCTATAATCCCAGCTACTCAGGAGGCTGTGGCAGGAGAATCCATTGAACCCGGGAGGCAGAGGTTGTAGTGAGCCAAGATCGTGCCATTACACTCCAGCCTGGGTAGCAAGAGCAAAACCTCATCTCAAAAAAAGACAAAAAAAAAAAAAAAAAAAAAAAGTACAGCCAACCATTCCAAGGTTTCCTTATTCAGGAACTGACACATTTCTGATCTTATCAGTTTCTGAGATGCTATCCCACAGGGTTACTGTGAGAAAAAAAAATAGTATTAATAAAGTTATTAGAATAACCCCCAGGACTGAGCCTGTAATCTCAGCACTTTGGGAGGCCAAGGCATGCAACTATTTGAGCCCAGGAATTTAAGGCCAGCCTGGGCAACATGGCGAAACACCATCTACACAAAAACTACAAAAAGGAGCCAGGTGTGGTGATATGTGCCTGTCATCCCAGCCACGCTGGAGGCTGAGGTGGGGGAAATGCTTGAGCACGGGGGGCAGAGGCTGCAGTGAGATCGCACCACTGCACGACAGCCTAGGTGACAGAGGGAGACAGTCTCAAAAAAAAAAAAAAAGAAGAAGAATCCCTCATGTGTGGTAATGTCAATATATCTTAACTGACACTGTCGTGAGTTATCACATAGTAATCATTTAACGAAGAGTTTACCAATCCATTAATTCACTCAAAAAATTTTTATGAAGGATCTACAGAATGCCAAGACCCAAAACCAGGTACTAGGCATACAACCATGATTAAACACAGATGCTGCCCCTTCCCTCACAAAGCTAGCAGTCTATTGTGAGAAATAGACAAATCACCAGGCGCTAGTGGAAGAGAACTACCACAAGGGGAGTTCAGGGTGGAAGTAAGGGCAAAGAAGTGGCGCCTAGCTTCTTCCCTGCTGAGGAGACGGGGTGGGACTTAGAGTTTGGAAATGCTCTTTAGTATAAAATACATCTTTGCTAAGACCCACAGGAGGGCAAAAACAGATAATCAGGTGAAGCATGGCGGGAGGAAGTGTGAGCTAGGGGCCAGGAAGGGGTTTCAGATAAAGGAGCAGCACACCCCCAGAGATGAGAAAGCCCACGCTTACCAGAAACCCAATCTGGTTCAAAACAGCTGGCAAATCATGTGTGATAAGGAGGGGAGTAACAGAAGAATCTGGGGAGCTAAGCAAAATTCCAGGCCATGATGAGTCTCAAAGGTCAAATAAAAGGATTTAGATTTATACTCAGGGCAATGAGGAGTCATCGCAGACTGTAAACAAAGGAGACGTGATGACTTGACGGGCACTGTGAACAAATGTCTGCCCATGTAGGTATTTGTTTTCAATTTTCTGCAAAATTGAGAAATAGAAAACACAGCTTGAGAAATAAAAAGGAACTTTCTGAGACTGTTAAGAGTCCAGCTGAGAGCGAAGGTCATGAATTTTTGGTGTTTTACAGCTAGATAGCTGTGGGATTTTCTCCTGCAGCCATCAGTGGCCAAATGTACATGGAGAAGTGGGCAGCTGGCTAGCAGCAGGATGCAGGATTTCCAGGTGAGTATGTCAGAAAAACAGTGGGGACAGAAGGAGCAGAGGATACTGACAAGGCCTAGGTGAAGTCATGGATGCTGCGGGCTGAGCAGTTAAGAATGGAAGGGAAGGCAGGATGGGGATGGCAGAAGAAAACCAAGCCATCCCCAGTCTGAAGGCCTTGACAAAGTCCAAATACTGGTCCTTCCACAGGAGAGGACGTGAAATGCTGTGGTCAGAGGGGGAGGGCTAAGCTGTTTTTTCACCATGGAAGAAGCTGTTCCAGGAGATGACAAGGTCAAGGACGTGGCTACAAAGGCAACTGATAAAATGGGGTAGAGGTGGAGAGGCCATGAGCCTTGAGGAATGGTGTCAGGGGATCAGTCACCCAGAACCATGACAGGACTTTGGGTACAAAGTGGTCAAATAAATATATTAACTCATATTGAATATAGTTTCATCTTTAATGATTTAGGCACTCTGCCACATACAATACTCTCAGTCATTCTTAGGAATTTCAACCACCTTGTAGACAGTGGAAGAAAATGTTCCCAGTTATTTACATTTTCTGACTGAATGGATGGATTCCAGATAAAATATATGAGGGCCTGAAAGGCTGCCTGGTTGGGTTGTTCTACTCCTGGAGAAAAGCTCAAATTCATACCAAATCATTTAAATACAAACATTCTGTTAGCATGGAAAATATTCTTCCTTCATCTTTGTGAGTTTTATGACTAAGGCATAATCAGGTGCAGACATACCTCATTTTATTATATGACACTCACAGGTATTGTGAGTGCCTCAGGTACTGCATTTTTTGCCAGTTGAAGCTTTGTGGCAACCTTGCGTTGGGCAAGTCTATCAGTGCCATTTTTCAAACAGCATGCGCCCACTTCTTTATCTGTGCCACGTTCTGGTAATTCTCACAATATCTCAAACCTTTTCATTATTATTGTATCTGTTTTGGTGAGGTGCTCAATGATCTCTGACATTACTGTTGTAGGTATTTTGGGGTACCATGAATAACACCCACATAAGACACCAAACTTCGCCAATTAAAAGTGTGTGTGTTTAAAAAAAACGGCCGGGCGCGGTGGCTCATGCCTATAATCCCAGCACTTTGGGAGTCCGAGGCGGGTAGATCATGAGGTCAAGAGATGGAGACCATCCTGGTCAACATGGTGAAACCCCGTCTCTACTAAAAATACAAAAAATTAGCTGGGCATGGTGGCGAGCGCCTGTAGTCCCAGTTACTCGGGAGGTTGAGGCAGGAGAATTGCTTGAACCCAGGAGGCAGAGGTTGCGGTGAGCCGAGATCACGCCATTGCACTCCGGCCTGGGTAACAAGAGCGAAACTCCGTCTCAAAAAAAAAAAAAAAGTGTGTGTGATCTCACTCCTCCACTGACAGCCATTCCTGTCTCTCTCTCTCTTTCACCAAGGCTCCCTATTACTTAAGATACAACAATATTGAAATCAGGCCAATTAATAACCCCACAAAGGCCTCTAAGTGTTCAAGTGAAAGGAAGAGTCACACATCTCTTACTTTAAATCAAAAGCTGGAAACAATTAACCTTAGTGAGGAAGACACAGGGAAAGCTGAGACAGGCTGAAAGTTAGGCCTTTTGCGACAAAAAATCAGCAAAATTGCAAATGCAAAGATAAAGTTCTTGAAGGAAGTTAAAAGTGTTACTCCCACAAAGACGTGAATGATGAGAAAGTGAAACAGCTTTATTGCTGAGATGTAGAAAGTTTTAGTGGTCTGGACGGAAAATCAAACTAGTCATTACATTCCATATGCCAAAGCCTAATCCAGAACAAGGCCTTAACTCTCTTCAATTCTATGAAGGCTGAGAGAGGGGAGGAAGCTGAAGTTGGAAGCTACCAAAGGTTGACTCATGAGGTTTAAGGACAGTTGTCTCCATAACACAAAAGTAAACTATGAAGCAGACGGAGAAGCTAAAGCAAGTTAGCCAGAAGATAGAGCTACGATCATTGATGAAGATGGCTACACTAAACAAATGATTTTCTGTGTAGATAAACAGCGTCATATTGGAAGAAGATGCCATCTAGGACTTTCTTAGCTAGGAAGGAAAAGTCAATGTCAGGCTTCAAAGCTTCATGGAACAGGCTGCCTCTCTTGTTAGTAGCTAATGCAACTGGTGACTCTAAGTTAAGGCCCATCAATGCTCCTGTACCATTCCAAAAGCCCCAGGCTCTTAAGAATGATGCTAAATCTCTCTGCTTGCACTCCACAATAGAACAAGAAAGCCTGGGTGATAGCAGATCTGTTTACAGCATGGTTTACTGAATATTTTAAGCCCACTGTTGAGACCTACTCCTCAGAAAAACAAATTCCTATCAAAATGTTACTGCTCATTAAGAATGCACCTGGTCATCCAAGAGTTCTGATGGAGAAGTACAAAAAAATCAATGTTGTTTTCATGCTGCTAATATAATATCCATTCTATAGCCCATGGATCCAGGAACAGATTTGACTTTCAAGTCTTATTATTAAGAAATATATTTTGTAAGGCTATATAAGCAGCCATAGATAGTGATTCCTCTATACATCTGGACAAAGTAAATTGAAAACCTTCAGAAAAAAAGTCACCACTATAGATGCCATTGAGAACATTCACGGCTCATGGGAAGAGGTCAAAATATTGACATCAACAGGAGTTTCAAAAAATATGCAAGGTCATACCTCACAGATGACCTGGAAAGGTTCAAGACTTTAGTGGAGGAAGT